AACATGAATGTACTTATGAGGTGTCAGTTAGCCATGGTTGGTGGGGTGACTTCTTCCTCGTATATGGAAAACAAGAGCAAGAAAGTATGTTCTTTTCTGAGGAAAATTAAAATTAAAATAATGGAATTGGGCTTCAATTAAAGGAATAGTAAACATGCTTCACAGAGAGCAAGGCTTGGGGTGTTGTCTTCCACCTTTATTGCAAGGTGTCTAAAAGAAAAGTAGTTCATAATGACTCTACAATCTGACCGCTACACTTAAGATAGTCGTGCATGGCTTGGTGGATCTCGGAGGCGAGACAGTCCAATATACATAAATTAAGCAATCTTCCGTGCGGAAGAGCAAAGGCAGGCAAACACAGAAAATAGAGATTAAAATTGGATTTACCAGGAAAAATGTTAAATATTTTACAGGACAACCTAAAAATGAATATGTAGAGTGGTAAAGGGCGAGGAGTGACCGTGAGAGCCGATAAAGATATGGCATAATTTACTAATAGGTAGTCACATCGAATTGTATAAGAAAGGAAAACCATTTTATAAGGGCAAGGGTTTAGATACTGCTTGCGTAGTGCCCGGGACAGTAGAACAATAACTTCGTTAAAGCAGGTGTTTGGATGGAGAGATGTACTGAGAAGTACTAGAAATAGCATTAACAAATAATAATTTAATGGATTAATTTACTAAGTTGAAGAAGTTAAAAAGACACAATATAAACTAGTTATGGCTATAACGAACCTAACAGTTTGGGTAATAAAGTAAAACATTAATATCTAAATGTTGGAGCAAATAAAAAGCGAATTTTTCAAATACAATTAGAGAGTGGTGGAAATGAAAATTTTAACATAATAATGGGTATGATATAGAAATACAGCGAGGTTATTTTCCTTTATGCATAATGAAAGGGAGATAATGAAGGTAGAAGAAGTTAGATTAAAGGGTAGGCAAGAAATAGCATGGCTTGAAGTTTTTGCAGAAAAGAATTGGGCAAAATACGAGTTACGTAGATGCAAACAGGAAGAAATGTAAGAAGATTTCGTATAGCCAAACACAAAATTATGTGGGCATAAGGTTATGATGTTGATGAAGATCGGTTATATAAAAGTAGTACTTACAAATACAAAATACTGAAAACAAACTAGAGCAAGCAAGAGTGTTCCAAGAATAATATTCAATCTATATATCAAATCAATTAGCACATCTTTAAACACTTCTAAATCCTTAGAACATCACAGGAAATCAACAGCTAAGTTCGCTCTAATGTGCATTTTCCAAGTAGCTATTATACTTCTTGGTACACGCACCTATCGTCCTTAAGCAATCCAACAAGTTAATGGATCTTGTATTGAGTGAGTAATATGCTACAATAAAGGCAAAACAACATTCATTGCAGAAACAGTCGAAAAATAAAAAAAATGAATGCAGGCAAGAAGCAAGGATTTAAAAGATGGGTCTATTGGTAAGACTAGGAAGAAAATGATGATGGACATCGAAGATCAACGGCTTAACGATCGTGTCTATTTATTTTCATGTAATTTTATTTGTTTAGTACTTTTCCTTTATACCTCACTTGAAGGGCTTTTGTTATTATATTTGCCCTAGGGGCACATTGTTGTCTTTTTTATTTTTCCCCTTCATAGTATTTTGGCTATTATAAGCTCCTCTTCCTCTTGGAAGGGGTGATGATTATAGGAATGAAATTTTCTTATGCTTGTTCTCTTTGTGAAGTTTAAATGCTCCGTAGAGATATCTTAGTGAGTTCTTTGTGATCTCTTTGTGAGTTCACTTGTATTTTGTCGATCAAGGTTTGCCTAATCCTTTTGTCTTTCCTGCGCGAGCGGCAGAAATACCCAAGTAGAGAAGGAAGAGCCAAGAAGTCAAGCCCTATGCCGCCACCTCGAGGTCCAGTCGAGCAGCCGTCGGGCCACTGGAATGCGGCCCACCGGCCGGCACCTTTCTCTCCAGCCACCATCTCCATTTTCCTCCCTCAACCTGTTCTTTGAAATTTGGAATTTTAAAATTTCAATTTCTATTCCTAATTGGGATTTCGTAATTTAGGAAAATTTTCGAGAATTTTGAACTCAATCTCATTAGGACAAGATTTTTCCTAGTCATCGTTTTGATTTGGAATCCTCCCACTTCTATCCCAACCTCCTCTTCTCCTCTGTGGACCGCCGCCACACTCATCGGCCAAGTCATATGCATTTCAAGATTGTCATAATGCTCCTTTAAATTGGAGTTTTGCAATAATAGGTGGATCTAATATAATATTTTGACCACCTTCCTAGATGTTGAAATTCAGGAATGTTTGAGGTTCTCTATTTCCTCTCTTGAACCAAGTCTCCGTAGAAAGGAGGTTATGAATATTCGATTCCAATTCCAAATTCATGACATAGGTGGAATATTAATCTTATCCTAGGTGGCATCACTCATTTGGAAAAGCATTGAATTCTCCCCGAAAATCCCTCCCCCTGCCTTGATGCCGCGAGTGCCCTATGATGGGTCCCCATTGATTGCTTAATTAATTCCCTCATTCAAATTTGAAATTCAAATTGATTTCAAATAACTTCCCTCTAATCTTTTAAAACTGAATTATTTCAGTTTTCTTTCCTAAAACTACTCGTCCATCTCTCTCATCGTTTATATTTGCTACCAATTTTCCTGTCCTTGATTCCTAACTTAAACTGCCGGCCATAAAAAGCTGCAGAAATTGCTTGTCCAGCCAATTTTCAAGTGGAAATTTGCCTGTCCGGGAATTCCAACCACCATTAGTGCTGCCAGAAACCTGCTCTGTTTGCTGACAGAAATCCCCCAGTGCTTGTCCAACGTTTTCTTCTTGGCTGCACTTTGGAAGCGGCCACAACTTGCCTGCTCCCTGATCACCATCCGAAGCCCAAGGAGCTGGTAAGAACACGTCCTCCACCTTATTGGGTGTTCTCTAGGAGCAGCCACAACAATACCAGCCTGCTGTCCTGAATTTATTCACCTCTTCCCGGGTGTTCCTTAGTGCGAGGAGGTATCGGGGTTGCCTGCCGCACATTCAGCAAACAAAGAGGGGGGCAGGCGGCATCAATAGTAGAGCTAGGTTTAGGAATAAAACTGAATTAATTTCAGTTTTAAGTAAAATTGGAGGGATTTATTTGAGCTTAAGATTTGAATTTCAAAATAAGAGAGGGGGGATTAATTGCACAATTAATGGGGCCCATGAAGAGGGGAGCCAGCGGCATCAAGGAGGAAGAGGGGGTTTGGGATGAGGTGGAGGATTCCAAATCAAAACGATGACTAGGAAAATCTTGTCTCATGAATCCAATTTCATTTGGAATGAGATTGAGTTCAAAATTTCGAAAACTTTCCTAAATTAGAAATTCCCAATTAGGAAAGAAATTGAAATTTAAAATTCAAATTTCAAAGAAAGGTTGGGGAGGAAAATGGAGAGGTGGTGGAGAGGAAAGGTGGCCGGCGGCAAGGTGGCCGGCCGGTGGGGATTCCGTGGCCGACGGGTTGCTCGATGGACGGTGGCGGCAAGGGCTTGACTTCTTGGCTTTCCCTTCTCTACTTGGGGTATTTTTGTGGAGGAAAGACAAAGGATTAGGAAACCTTGATCGACAAATACAAGTGAACTCACAAAGAGATCACAAAGAACTCACTAAGATATCTCTACGACATTGAACTCACAAAGAGAACAAAGCATAAGAAAATTTCATTCCATAATCATCATCCCCTTCCAAGAGGAAGAGGAGGGCTTAAATAGCCAAATACATGAAGGAAAATAAAAGACACATTGCCCCTAGGGCAAATATAAAACAAAGCCCTCAAGTGAGGGTATAAATGGAAAAGTACAAATAACAAATAAAATACATTAAAATAAATAGACACGATCGTAGCCGTTGATCTTCGATGTCCTCATCATTATTCTTCCTAGTTCTTACAATAGACCCATCTTTACATCCTTGCTTCTGCTGCATTCATGTTTTTTATTTTTCGCTGTTTCTGCATGAATGTTGTTTGCCTTTATTTGTAGCATATTACTCACTCAATACATAGATCCCATTAACTTTGTGGATTGTTAAGGACGATAGGTGGTGTACCAAGAAGTTATAGCTTGTTGGAAAATGCACATTAGAGGAACATTAGCTGTTGATTCCTGTGATTGTTCTAAGGATTTAGAATGGTGTTTAAAGATGTGCTAATTGATCTTGATGATATAGTTGAATATATTCTTGGAACACCTGGTTCTTGTCTCTTTAGTTTGTTTTCCAGTATTTTTGTAAGTACTACTTTATATACCGATTTCATCAACATCATTAACCTTATCCTACATATTTGTGTTTGGCTATACGAATCTTCTTACATTTCTTCCTGTTGAGTTCTACGTAACTCTATTTTGCCCAAGTCTTTTTGCAAAACTTCAAGCCATGCTATTTTCTGCCTACCCCTTTTATCTAACTCTTCTACCTTCATTTATCTCCCTTCATTATGCATAAGAAAATAAACTCGCTGTATTTTCTTATCATACCACATTTATGTTAAAATTTTCATTTCCATCACTCTCTTTGGATGAAAATTCCTTCTTTATTGCCCAACATTTAGATATTAATGTTTTCTTTATTACCCAACTGTTAGGTTCGTATAGCATAACTAGTTTTATTGTGTCTTTGTAACTTCACTTATAAATATCCATAATATTTTGTTATTGCTTAGTACTCTCAGTACACTTTCCATCTAAACCACCTGCTTTAACTGAAGTTATGTTCTCGTCGGCACTACGGCAGCAGTTTAAACTGCCCTTAAAATGGTTCTTTTTAATTGATTTGATCCTTTAGTAATTTATGGTATATTTTTTCGCTCTCAGTTACTCCTTTTACCACTCTACATATCAATTTTTTGGTGTTGTAAAATATTGAACATTTTCCTGGTAAATCCTTTTTATTTATTTCTGTGTGCCTCCTTTGCTTTGCACAATGATTTGTTAATTTTATGTATTTTGAACTTGTCCTGTAGGACCACCAAGCCATTGATATTCTTGTAGCGGAGATTGATATTTATGAACTCTTTGCTTTTAGACATTGCAAAGGGAGAAGGACAAAGCTTGCTCTCTGTGAAGGCATGCTTCTTTCTTTTGAAGCCAATTCATTTTTTTTTTTTTGAAAGAATTACTTCCTGTCTTGTTTTCCATATAGAGAAGTTCACCACCAAATGGTAATGAACTATTAAGTCATTCTGTAAAGTTAACTTTATTAATGCCATCTTTTGACAATCGTAGTGTTTTTAGAGCTTTGAACTTTGGCTTCTTAAATGGTCTTAAACATGTTTTTTTTTATATATTTGGTTTATGTTTGTTGGTTGTGGCCTTGAGAATGGCATGCAAGGCTTGGAACTTGTGTCCGCAAAATTAATATGGAAGGATTTTTTATGCATTCATGACATTATAAACAAATTCATGGGATGTTAAATACTAAATTAAAAATTGTACAAATGCGCAGTTTTACGTGATATTGAGTACTTTGCTGGCTTGTAGCCACTTTTGTCGGTAACCTGTTGATAATTTACTAATGGAAATTCAGAGCTTGAAGAAAGGATGCATGATTTGAAAAGTGAACTGGAGGGATTCAAAAGTGATGATTCTGATGAAAGCCACAAAAAGAAGGCTCTTGATGCTTTGAAGAGGATGGAGAAATGGAATTTGTTCGGTGATACTCCTGAGGTTTCATTTATATTCCTGTCTTTCTTAGCTTATTGCAACTAATTAGGACCAGGAATATCAAAATGTATTTCTGCTTTCATGATACAATTTCTTTATATTAGAGATTTGCTATGAGAGAAATCGAGAAAGTTTTGGTTAGTTCTTGTTGTTGTCATTCTAATTGTTACCCCTTTGCAGGAATACCAAAGCTATACTGTTGCGCATGATACATTTCTGTCTCATCTGGGGGCTACATTGTGGGGCTCTCTGAGACATGTAGTTACTCCATCAATGGCTGATGGGGCATACCATTACTATGAAAAGATATCATTTCAGATATATTTCATCACGCAGGAGGTAAGTCTTCCTGTCATTTTTGCTTGGTCTTTTGACTTGCTGCGTTTTTTTCCACAATGCGAATATTTTCACAGAAAGTGAGGAATATGAAGAAGCTACCCGTGAACCTAAAGGCACTTACAGATGGCCTTTCTTCTTTGGCGGTTGCTTTTCAAAAGGTTATGTTTAGCCAACACCTGTAAGCATTCTTTATCTGCTGCTCCTGGTTTTTAATTTATTAAAAACTTCATGGATTTTCTTCAATAAACGATATGTTTTAAAGATTCTATATTGAACTTCTAAAGATGGTTGATATAAGTCACGCAGCATTCTCTACTAAATATTCACCTTAATTCCCATAATTTCTAGGCTGGCACTTTCGGAAGATCCAGATCTTACTATGGCGTTCTCAGTTGCTCGACGTGCTGCTGCAGTGCCACTTCTTCTAGTTAATGGGACATATAGATTGACCACCCGTGCCTACCTTGATTCCTTAATTTTGCAGCGGCAGTTACAGAAGCTTAGTGATCATGGTTCTCTCAAAGGTACATTTTCCTTCGTTACTGTTGTTTTTTCTTTTACTGTTATATGAGTGTGTCAGCGATAAAGTCTGATTTTATTGTACTTATTTAGTCTGTGGAGGATATTTTCTCTTATTTACACCACTTTTTAATGGTGGAATTAATACTAGCTATTAAACCTGGACTAGCCCGGATCACCAAACAAAAGGGACATTACTCTATAGGATGATCATTTGTTGATCCAAGAGGTCAATGGTTGTTTAAGTGAAAATATCATTTTTTTAATGTTTGTTAAGAAATAATCAATTTTGCTTGAAAATAATGCGGTGAATTTATATTGAGCTTGAGCAAAGCATAAAGAGAATAAAATTATCACAAGAATGAGAACACATAATTAAAAGTGATTTGGCTTCTAGCCTAGCCTACATTCACTATTCAAATCCCTCTTTGGAAATACAGTAAGCTGGCTTCTTAACTAGTGAAGCACTTCCATACACTTCTTCCCGCACAAGGAGAAGATCCTTAAATCTTATCCAGGGGTCAAAGATCAACCCTAACTAAATAACTACAAAATTTCCACATGAATGTTCAGCAAAAAGAGTGTATGGAGGCCAATGCTAGATTCATTGGTTCAACTATAACATCTTTAGTACATTACAATGAGAAATAGGCTTGCATATTGAATGATTTTCTAAGTTTTAAAAAACCTTTCACAAAATACTAATTGCCAAAGGCATTGTTGACTTCAATAAATGAGCCTCAATTTTGTTGTTGAATTGCGCCGTGTCAGCTGGCTCAATTTGTAGTCCTGACAATGGCTCCATGTTGATGCCCTAGAAAGTGAATATGGATCAAATTGTTGAGAATATATAGAATATATATTATATAATGTACAAATTCACTCGTGCATGAATACTATGTAAGCTTATTAATAGAAAGCACTTGTTAAATATAATTTATGTTATACTGAAATATATATTATATAATGTACAAATTCACTTGTGCATGAATACTATTGATGCGGACATCGGCACGAAGATCTGGCGCATCTATCACAGGAGGCGTCGTAAATCGACTGCTCTAATTTAAGTTGTCATTTATGAATTATTTTCTGCATTTTAGTTTCTATATTATGTTATTTTCTATTTTACCCCTAGGTTAATTTATTTGAGTGTTGTGGCCCAAGGAGCATTTTTATAATTTTCTATTTTCTCATGTTATGGCCTATAAATAAGGGCCTTAAGCTATTGTAATGGATGGTTGATGGATATGAAAAATTTTGTTTTTCGACACTTGTGTTCCACATTTATTCTTCTTGTGAGAGAGCGTTAGTGGGGTTCCTATGGGAAGGAATCGAAGTTGTCACCAGCCGTAGGATGGGTCCGGGCTCGTGATTTGAGATCCCTTGGAGAGAGAGAATCGGATCACCCACCAACCTTGGAGACGGCCGGGTTCGTGGTTTTTTTTTTCTTTTCGTTATCTTTTTATTTTCTCCTTGTCGACATCCGCATCTCCTCCTTTCACCGCCACCGGTCCCTTCCTCCTTCCCATTGAACCGCCAGTTTTAACAACCCCTCCATCACCCCAACCGAGAACCCCCACCTTTGCTCCAATTATTAATTGCCTTTCCTAAATTGGAGGGATTAAGTTAATGAAGGATTTGAATTCAAAATTCAAATTTATTTATTGCTTAATTCATTCTTAATAATTAGGCATTTAATGATGTCATTAATTCTGACATAAAATCTCAGAATTTTGAATTCAAAAATCCCGTCGGCTTCCCTTAATCCTTCCCTTGTAATCAATTAGTTTCCAATTAGGGAAGAGCTCTTCATTAATGAAAATTCGAATTCCAAAATTTTAATTCGAATTAGCATTATTCACACCATTAATCTCTCCCACCATTTAAGCCAATCGTCATTAATTCTCAAATATGAATTTAAATTCAGATTTAAGACATTAATTCTCTCAAACTACTCTCCAAATTAAAAATCACCTCCACCTTGGCTTCACTCACATTTATTACCTTTTTCCCCTTTTTGCTCCAGCCGAAATTCTCTTCTCCAAATCCCTTTATTCTTTCTTATTCCACTTCTCTGTTTTGGAAAGAATTTTCCTAGCCCGTTTTTCTTTGCCGCTGCCCAAGCCTTCCCGTGCTCTCTCTTCCTTCCAAACCATCTCCCCCCCCTCATTTAGCCTTCTCTTGAATTACCTGTACGAGCTCTCCTCCAAAGATTTCTAATGTTTCATTAGAGAAATCTGGACTTTCTCTAAAGTTAGCAATAAAATCTAAAATCCCTTTTTTTTCAAATTTTCTGTGGGAAGATCCAGATTTATTTCAGTTTTGCAAGGAACAATTTTAGATTTCAGAGAGGAGGTCCTCTCCGTAGCAAAGCCGGCATTTCCGTTCTACATCAACTATGTAAGCTTATTAATAGAAAGCACTTGTTAAATATAATTATGTTATACTGTAATACTATATTCCTTTGCATTGAATTATAAATATGATGTGTATGCATGCATATGCGTAAGTAATATTTTGGTATACACACACATATGCATGCACAAACACACATGCACATATGTAGTACATTAGTATAGGTATATAAAATATAAAAATATTTAGTGTATTAGAACTTTATAATAATTATTTTAAAAGAATTTTCCATTATATAATCATTTTTTAAAATTGTTATTCTATATAATATATATTATAATTATAAAAAAATAAGAAATTATTATTATCTAATGATGCATTTTTTTAGCATAAATTACTAAAGTATGCATCAACTATTAATACTATGCATATTTTTTAATATATATTATAATATTCTTTACCTTAAATTATATTTTTTTATATATGAACGTATATCTGTGTGTATGTGAGTGACATTGCAATTTAGAGACTGCTAGAGTATCACATTTAATGATTTGCGGAAGTGTTACTTCGGAGCATATGAACTTAAAGTCAATTTGTTTAGAGTTGTACTAGTTACTTCTTAGGGAGGAAGCACTGTCCACTTCCCTGGCTACCTAAAATAGCTGAAGTGGTCTGCTTCCAGGTCTTCATAAATATAACCAAACAAGTCCCAAGTGAATTTTTTGTATAGAAATTCACAAAAATGAATTTTAAATGAATTGTAATTGAAATGATAAAGCTTGGAAAAATACAGAACGCTTACATACCAGGCCTAGGACTCTAAGATATTAAGGAGAACCTCTTTAGCTTTGCAGAGTGCATGGATCTTCATGGCTTGCAACATACCTTATTATTCACCATTTTGTCAAAAGTCAACATCAGAGTTTATTCAATGCAGAATGTTCAAGCCATGTTAAGAGAATTTATTTGTCACAAGTTACTATAGTATTTGTCATCGTCAAAACAATGTGGATTTATTCCTTGTTGTTTTATCATTTTGATTATTATACACATGCTCTTATATTTGATCAAAAAACTTATTTGGCTGCCTTTGGCATTTTTTAAATAAGAAATTGAATATTGTTTTTTCAAACATTATGCAGGAATCCATTCAGATTCCAGGTCTACATTGGAAGTTCCGATCTTCTGGTTCATACACAATGATCCAGTGCTGGTAGATAAACATTATCAAGCAAGGGCACTTTCTGACATGGTCATTGTTGTTCAGTCAGATAAAGCGGTATGGGAGAGCCACTTGCAATGCAATGGGAAGCCAATTGCTTGGGATTTAAGGTTATCATTTCTTCCTTTTCCCGTAAAAACTGATTGTTTTTAATGCTCTATTCATGCATGCTATAAGATCACACTAAAAAGTGCTTACAGATTACAAAACCTTAAAATGTAGGGGGCTATAAGCATTGAACTTCACAGCATTTGTGCATTAGGGGCACTAATTTGGGTTGATGGGTCATTCATCCCAGCTCGAAGTTGACATACCTTGGTAATGATTGGCCCAAATACGGATCTCTTTTAGTATTAGTTATCAAAAACTCGGACACCCTCAATGTGTATTAATTTTCCACCGTACAATGTTAAATTATCATTGGAAAACTCTTCGTTAGCATTTATAGTGTTAGCACCAATCTCTCAAATCAAGATAGTTAATCACCTCACTTGTTGGCCCCTCAAAGCAAGGCGCTCAACTCAGTACCAATTAGTAATGGAGCCCATCTAATGGGGTTGTGGGGTGCTATGATCTCCTGTCACCTGGCTCTAGCCGATATATGGGTGTCTGACACATGTTGACACAGCATGAAGCATCTCTAACAATGATGTTGTTTAATGTATGGGTTGATAATATGAACCCTAACACTAACCATATAGGTTTTGGGTCAATGTGATGCAAAGTGTGTTGGTTCTAGGTTAAGAGTAATTTGCAGATTTCGAGAAGAAGATAGATAGAGGTTGAAAGGTGGTTATTGGCCTATGATCTTTGTGATGACGTGATTTTATTGATAATGGAGGAGCATGTGATCCAAGATAAACTTCAGTTTTGAGTGGATTGGGTGAGTTGCAAGGATTTTTGGATGATCAATGATCAAGGATAAACTGGCGTAAATATTGTTTGCGCGGGTAGAATAAGTGAGGTTTAACTTGTAAATTATAAATTTGCAATAATGCTGACGCACGTTGACCAAATTCCTCTTTTATTATGTATTTATCAAATTTCGGCTCATCTATGTCAACGTAATTCTATTGCTCATAAAAGTCTAAGTTTCCTTGTATGTTTAGATACTGATGCCCTTTAGCATGCTTTCACTCATATTTTTTTATTTGTTTGCGGCTTCAAATACCTTTGTAGTATTGGGCTGGAGTGAGCAATGAGTTTGGCAATGGCGAGTGTCGGGTTTGAGTGGTGAGGATGTGTAGAGAGTCTTAGCAGCAATTTGCAAACGAGGAACCTTTTGTTATCGGCTGATTTCTGAACATCATTCTTTTTAAACTTTACCCAACCAACCCAAACATGATTTAAAGCAAATAAGATAACTATGATTTTCTCGGATGGGATTTTATGTTCATGTTCAAAGCAAGCATCAGCCTACTCTGGGCGGTGAGGATGAGCAATAACCTCAAGTTGCTAGGTTGAGTCACTACAAGAAAATCATCAATTTGCGGCAGAACAATTCTCCACAAAACTCGATAAATCCGTCACAAATCCTGGTTTGCGGCGGATTCTAATTCAATGGTAAATCGTGCATCGCAAACGTATTTTCGGCAGAGTAAATCCGTCGAAAATCAAATTTGCAACAGATTTTCGACAAAATTATCTCAGATAAAATGATGTACTTGTCCTTGTGGACCACCGAAAATTCCGTAAAAAATTTTGGCAGATTTGCGGCACAAATTGCAGTGGATTTACCATCGCAAATCTGCCACAATTTATTACGGAATTTTCGTCACAAACATCGATACTCGGTCGTCGTAACTATTGTTACCGTAATATGTAAAAAAAGTACTACTGTATGTATGCTAACATGTAAAAAAAAAGGAACTATTGTCTGTATGCTAACATGTAAAAAAAAGAACTACTGTATGTATGCTAACTTGTAAAAAAGTAACTAATGTATGGATGCTAATATGTAAAAAAAGGAACTAATGTATGTATGCTAATATGTAAAAAAAAAGGGTACTATATGTATGCTAACATGTAAAAAAAGAAACTATTGTATGTATACTAACATGTAAAAAAAATTACTAGGTGATTCACATTTACGGATTTACCTTTTAACTATTAATCATTAGATGATTCACTTCCATCTGACGAGACCACATCCCTAACATCTTCGATGTCTCCTTAATGTCTAAGTCTATATCATTTAGCTGCAACTCGATTTCATTAGCTACAATTTGATCATCTATATCATTAGCATGCTATTTAAAGTTTAACGTACTCTTCTTAATGTATCATTGGTATTGATGTTGTATTGCTGACTTTCTTGTAGTGAATAACAAGGCGAGAGCAGTGGGGCCTAGCAAGACAATGAACAGTGATAGGCTTAAATCTGATGTAGTTTTTTATGGTTAACAACCGGCCCAATAAAGACTGGCACAAGTTTGTGTTTTGGTTATTGTAATCATGTTGATGAGTGACAATGTTCCTTTTTTCATACTACCGAATTCATTAAGCTGTGATTTGATCGACTGAATGTTATTAGCTGAGGAAGTTTAACCAGCCGAAATAGTTTTGTTGGTTCTATTTTCCTTAAATGGCTGAACTAGCTGAATGTTTTTTTATTATATAAAGAAGTTGAAGCAACTGTAATAACTTGGTTTGTTTGATTTTCTTTCCGTCTAAACCAAACATGATAGGTATGACATAATGACTAAGATGTCTGCTAATTCAGTTCAATTTCTTTCTGTCGAGATGTTGAAATCGGACTGAATACTTATTTTGTGCAAGACATAGTTTTATGTACATATATTAGGCATGGAAGGGAACATATTCATACACATAGATATAAATATACCCCAAAAAAGGCATTAGTTCATTTTTTAGTATATTTTGGTTTACCTCTTGACTAAACCAAACCATAACCAAACAACGGAATTTTACCATGTTAAAAAAAAAAGAAGCAAAATAGATTGAACAAAATTTTTTATCTTCGGTTAATTAGTTTTAGATGGTGGTGTGGCCTGCAATGCTTTATGGCGCAGAATGTTGGCCATTAAAAGAGAAGCATAATATCAGGTGTGGTAGAGATGAGGATGTTTAGGTGGATGATTGGCTTTACTCTTAGTGACAGGGTACAAAACGAGCATATACATGAAAAGGTTGAAGTAGCTCCTGTGGAAGATAAGATTAGAGAGAGTCGCCTTAGATGGTTTGGCGACATTAGATGGTTTGGTCACATTAGATGGTGGCCTTCTGATGAACCGGTTAGGAGAGTGTAGATGTATTAGATTTGGCCTATGTTAAGAAAGATAGAGATTGACCTAAAAAGATTTTGTTAGAAAATATTAGAAATGACCATTTTTTATTAGATTTAAATGAGAATTTGACCTCTTAATAGGACACAATGAAGAAAAATGATTCATGTAGCCGACCACACGTAGTGGGATAAAGGCTTGATGATGATGATGATGATGATGTTGTTGTTATCGATTTGTTTTAGAGGACTAATGCTGACCCACTCATAGTTTTAATGGCACATGTTGTAAATAATTTTTTTTTTTTACTTTGAGACATGTCAGCCAAACATGAGGAAAAAAATTTTTGTGTGCCAACCAATTAATCCTACCAATCCCCAAAACCTAAGAAGCTTAACATAAACTTGTTTTTAGTTGGGTGAAGGTTGGGTTTTCATGTCAGTTCACAACTTGGGGAAATTATTCTATGCGGCATCTAATGGTCCAGAGGCGAATAAGAACACATCATGTCACCCGGTACCGAGCGGTACACAAAAAAAAATGATGTGGCTTGTTCTAATTTGCCTCTGGACACCGTTCTGTGACCGCACAAAATAATTTTTCAGGTAGGCTTTTGAGGTTTGGAACAATTCAGTTATATTGTCAGGTCACATCAACATGAACCTGTCTTGAATTTGCTTTGTTTTTTATTTTATTAAATTGGTTCCCCATGAGGTTGTAACGTCCTTAAATTATTCAAATTTTGAAATCATTAATTTTCATCAAATATATGAACCATATTGAATGGTGAATTCTTGAAACGATTCTTATTTTCGTTATCTTCAAGTCTATTATCCTTAATATTACATTATTTTTTTCATCTTGGTTTTGAGTTATGACTTGTTGAATATTGGTGATATCACTATAATCTTGGCTATGTTTATATCTTTAGGAGACCCATAAAAGCTGCAATTTCTGCTACTGCTGAACATCTTTCTGGTTTGTTGCCTCTTCACTTGGCGTACAGTCAAGTCCATGAAACAGCTCTTGAGGTATAAAAATGTTTTTTTTTTCTAATTTAATTCCTTTTATCTGAGTTGTTTGTCTTTATTTTTTTTAATGTTAACTTGATTTCAAAGGAGAGAATTCTGAAATGCAGTCAGGTCTTTTGTGTATCTGAGCTTTATTGATTATGCATAGTAACAGTAACATTGCAAATAATTCTAGTTTTTTTTTTTAATCCATGAGAATGCTCATCTTATGAAGAATTGATTAAGCAACCGGGCTTTCTTTTACACGGATGGTTTTTGATGCAATGTAGCTATACCGCACTCCAAATAGGAAAGCTAGACTATCTACCTTATTCTTTCTGTTTTTATTACTCTTTTTTAGTAGCTTAATTGCACAATTACTGCTAATTATGTTTTATTTTATATGATGATTAGTTATTATGGCTTCCACAAATTCTTGGTACCCAAAAAGGTAACATAACCACCTGTGAGCGGTAATTGTTTTGTAACATTTTGGTTGCTGAACAATATCATTTTTGGTTTCAACACAAATCCGTCTCTATTTCTTCTTCCTTTGACTTCCCATATGTCAATCATGTATCAGTTTGGTATCAAAGCGCCACCATGGAGGATAGAGGCAACCATCTTACGATGATGGTTGGAGTTGGGTTTCATTTTGGGAAAATCAATCGGCAGTCGAACGGAAGTCGAAATTCTTGGTGACGGAATTCCATCAATTTGTGATAGAGGTCTAACAAGAGTTGTGCAATATCAAAGGCTATGCCATCTTCCCCCTGACAACATCATCGGTGAACCTTGCTACCATACTATTTCTAGGAGGAATTGCAACAATAAATTAAACTCCATGGAGACCCTCAAAGATTTGACATGCCAACTCAAATGAATTTCCCTCTGAAGAACAGTGGATGCCTTAACGACAAACTCATTTATCTAATTATAACTTTGGAGAAGAAATCGTGGTTTTCACTCTCTGCCTTGACAAAAACATTAGTTTGAGAAATCTCATGTAGATTTCATGGTAAAAGTTGATTTGCCCTTTTTTCGATGGGCATTTGCGTTTAGAAGATAATTTGGATTTGGAGCAAGCTATAAGACCCTTCTTTGATTATATGGAAATCACTTCAAAAAGTAGGTGAAATCTGTAGATTAGAAATTAAAGCGGAGGGACCACAACGTTTTGGGTGCAAATGTGCTAATGTCACCTTAGGGAAGGTAAGAGGATTGTTAGAAATTGAGCGTCAATGAAATAGTTATTGAGGGATCATTTCCTTTCTATAGATTACAAACAATGTTATTGAGGAATCTTGTTTTGAGTGCATGTATCGAGAAATTTTGTCAATTAAATGCTCGTAACAATCTTAGAGGGTTGAAAGAGGCCATACAAGACAAACTTGAGTTAAATTCAATTTGGTCTTTGTCTTAGGCCATTAATTTCGCTTATAAATCAAAACTTTAATTAAGTTGTTCCTCATGATTTACTTGTGGCTGGTGTCAACAGAATGAACTGATATTGGAAAATGACCAAAAATCTTCCCAAGTGGCTAATCAATCCCAAATGTCAGCTACCAATGAAAAGGATAAATGGAGCAGAAGGCAATATCTAGAATGGGAACAAACAGCACCAATGCATATGCTAAACCTAATCCTTCAAAATGCTACTGATGCTTTCAAGTGGGAAATAAATCAAATGAATGCCCATAAAGACTAGAAGTTCAATCTCTCAAAGTATTGCTTAAAATTGTGCAATATGAGGCTCGCCTCAGCACAATTCCAGTGAAAAATGAATCAGGCTTATGCCTCAAGCTTTTTTTATGAGGCCTGCTTTGAGACGCGTCTCTCCTCTCGGGCGTGATGCATAAACCTCACCCTTTTTATATACTTTTTAATTAAAATTCACCTAAATCCTAAACTAGAACCCTTGAACAAGTCTTGTCTTCATGCACCTCCGAGCCGCAACAACTTATTCTCAATTGCCTCGACCTCCAATCCGTCACCTACACTGTACCTACCATCGTCGTAGTCGCCATTAGGGATCACTTGAAAGCCACAAACCACCACCACCTCCTCTAAAATTTTGGAGTATTAATCTCATCTTTATGTTGATGACAAACATTTATGAATGAGGAAGATGACCGAAATAACTGAAAAAGAAGCAGATTGGGAGGCATTGGACTCCAGAATATGAGGTTGCTGAGTGACCAATTTGTGATGATGACGACTCAAATAAAGACCCTCTCAATGATGACAGTGCAAATGATTTCTAGGTTGTTGCTAACTATTTTAGTTTTCTTTAGGAATTTAATGTGGATGAATAGGGAAGTGAGAAGGAATTTGAAGTTAAACTTGACTTTATATGATACTTTTATACATTCTTATATTTTATATTGTTGTACTTTTGTAATATTTGGATTTCAATCCTATTTCAAGCAATTTATCACTTGCCACTTTATGTCCTACACAATTTTTGTTTCATATGTATGTCAATTTGTTAATTAATAGTTCAATGGAATGTTAATATGTCATCTTTTAACATATTATTTGTGTTTTATATAAAAATACTTTTAACCTCTATTTTCACTTTACACAATTTTTTGATTTTGAGGTTTAAGCCTAAAAAACGCCTCAATACCCAATAGCGCAATTTAAAACCTTGGCTCAAAGGGAGCATAATGGTGATGAGCCATGCAGTCATCCACTGCCAGAAACAAATTCAATGATGTCCTAGTAGACGAAGGTAAATTTCTATATTCTATCCTTCAAAAGGTTCGATTAGCCTCAAGACAGCTAGTGCTTCTCAAATTTATGCTGTTTTTTGAACTCGATGCACAATTGCTGACAATGTTTGCAACCTGGACGTTGACAGCAGTTGCACTGGAAATATTACATCCAGCAGCTTCATTAAGTCGCTCCAATTGAGAACTACAAACGAATCCATATAAAATCAGTTGGGTTCGTAAAGGTGTTGATGATCAAATCACACATGTCAAGTGGCATTCTCAATTGGCAAGGATTTTGTATGTGATGTAATGTGTGAGGTCTTATATGGGGATGTATTTCATATGATCCTTGGGCGACCATGGAAATTAGATGTTGACACATGGTATGGCTGTCATGCCTACGCTTGCTTATTTGATTGGAAGGGTAAGAAAGTGCACATTTTGCCATCACCTTCACCTATGGGAAAGCAATTTCACTTGTGTGATTGGGTCACGACTACTAGTAGCATTTAAAGAACAATCTAGTTTACTAGCTATTTTTGTCACTGAACATAAACCAAAAAAACAATGGACCTTCCCTGTTTTGCCGGTAGCAGTTGCCCAAGTCTAGATCAATACATCGATTTAACTTCTCAAGAGCTGCTTGAACAGCTTCCTCCACAATAGAAAATTCAGCACCAAATTGATGTAATTCTGGAAGCCTTGTTACCAAGCTTGCTGTTCTAGATGATGGCTCCAAGTGAGCATAAAATATGAAAGGATATTATAAATGATTTGCTTGACAATTATCTTATTCTTCATAGTCTTAGCCCTTGTTTTGTACCAACATTGATTGCTTTGAAGGAGGACAATAGGAGGCATTGCACAGAACCATACTTTCAATAATATTATGGTTAAACAACATTTTCCTATGTCTTGGTTGGAAGAAATGTTGGAGAAATTGAACGGTGCCTCTATGTTCTCTAATCTAGAACTTCGACTGTCATTAGATTCAAATTTGATATGGAAATATGATGACCACTAACCAGCCCTATAGCCCCAACCTCACACTTGCCAAAAGACGCGACTTCACATGACACAACCGACACTCTTTCGTTTCCTCAAAACTATATGAGGAATGGTTGGAGGATTTATTCGACAAACGGACGCAAGAAACGGAACACTCAACTCGCTCGTCTTCCCTTAATCGCATGCAGGAACGATTATGTCTTCTCTTCCAATCTCTCTTTGTCGAATGCAGGAACGACAACCACTCGACTTCCTCTACCTCTTTGGTGTGTCTTTGTACAAACCGCTCGAAGGAAGAAAGGCAGGCTCCCTCTCATCTCCTTCACACCCTTGCTCTCTTCTTCTTCGCTTGCGCCTGATCCAACCCAGATCTACCGCATGCATCCCATTGCCCATGCACGATTTTTACCTTAACCTCTTGTGCCCGCATGTGATTCAACCTCATCCTCTTGCGCCCGTGAACTCTCCACTCTCCGCTCGTCGATCCGTTTTGGCCCGACCTCCTGCACCTGTGTATAGCTACTTGCTCCCGCATGCGATCTCCTAGGCTGGCCGTTCTCCTACATCTAATCCATCTAGTCAATTTGACCTGCCCGACCACGCAGTCTCCCACTCCCGCGATCGGCTCGACCCGGTGCCATGCACGTTAGTATATGAGTGTGCAAGAGTGTTTGTAAAAAAAATATAAAAAAATAATAATGATAAATAGGTATTGCAAATTGAAGACCAAAAAACCTAGCCGGGGGCCCAGGACCAATCATCGTAATCTTTGATATGGCCGTGCGGATTTGAAAGGCAAGTGCCTCCCAACCTCCCTTCATGGGGAGGAGACACCTGGAGGCTGTCGGATTTTCAAGTAAAATGGAAGAGCTTATGTTTTAATTAAATCATATTTAATTAATAGGTACCGCGAGCAAATTGAAGGCTTGAAGACCTGAGCCGGGACCAATCATCGTCTTGAAGCCCTCGACCGATGAATCTTTGATCCGATCTGCATGATTTAAAGGAAAGTGCTTCCCAACCTCCCTTTGCAGGGAGTGGACGTTGGAAGCCTGTCAAAATTTTGAACAAAGGACCCTTACACAATTAATTTCAAACAAAAATTTTCACTTTAAATGATTTAAAAATAGTCAATTATGTGTAATTTGAATTAATAAAAAAAAAGACCACACAAATGTGGTGGAGGATCAGTTTACATTGCAATATTTTTTTATAAAAAAAATAAGACCAAACAATTCTATGATTTAATATGCAAGAATATGCTACACTTCTTTATTAGTGCAAGCAGGAAAGATA